AAAAATACAAAAAATAAAAAAAACTATTTAAAATATTTAAATGCAACTATTCGAGAACATTTTAGTTTTTTTTAAACAGACACGTCTACAAAAACCTATATAATCTATAATATTATCTATATAATGTCATTTTAACAGAACGTCAACGGTTTTTGTAGACGTATCTATTTTAAAAAAAAATTAGTGTTCTCGAATAGTTGCATTTAAATATTTTTAAAGAAAAAAACTATTTAAACATTAAGCATTTTGTTTGTTCGTTAGACAAATTTGTTTGTCTGTAAACCTAACTGCTGACAAGTAGTTTCCGTTGGATTAACGCAACAGTGTTTAGAAAAAATAACTATTTTATTTTGTAGATTTTCTTGCAGTGACGAAATACCCATATTAGATTTTTTTTGGAAACAATATATTATTTCTTCTTATACAGGGTGGCGCACCTCATTCGCCTCTGTTGATTATACGAAAACGGAAAGATGTAGAAACAACATATTTTATGGGTATATGTGGGGAGGTAATGTGGACAATTTAAAATTATTTTGAAATGTACAGGGCGTTTAAGAACTAAGATCCATACCAAAGTTATATTTTTTCTTATGGAACACCCCGTATTTTATTCCATTTTTGGATTCTTGGGCCCAAAAAAAGTTACATATTTAAATAATAAAATATTTTGTTTCTACATCTTTCCGTTTTCGTATAATCAACCGAGGCGAATGAGGTGCGCCACCCTGTATAAACAGTTAACTTCAAATTACTCAAGAAATGTCAAATATATTTGATAACCTTTTCCGAACGTTTTAGGCTGGCAACATACATATCGTCCCCTATCTCACGTACTGGCGTAACTGCATTTTAATAAATACAGAGAGAACAAAATAAAAAGTACCTGTATCACCAAAATTATTATCATAAAAATTTACAATTAAATTTTTATACGCTACATCGGATCCAAATACTATCGCTGCCATGATACCGTGATAGGCACAGTTACAGCACTTCTTGAGATAAAAGTTGTGCTTTCAGGGAAGTCCCAGATAGCATAACTATTTTTTTTTCGATTTTTCAGTTACGCTTATAGGTAAGATAGGGAGTGACATATGGAATCACGTTATGGAATGTTAAAAACGTTGAAAACAGAAAAACTTCAAGACGGGAGGTGACTGTATTCATTTACTGCATTCGAAATTATTCAGAAACGATATTTCGCATATCTGTGTAATCCATAGAATTTGAGACCTATACACATAGGTACAGTAATTTTCCATTCGGAGGGGAGCAAGGAAGGTGCCTCCACGCGTGCATTTTACACATATGTTAAACAAAGAAAACTAAAATGCCGGCGCTCCCTGAAAACGTTGTCCAAGTGGACAACGGCCAAACCTTCCACCACCGGAAACCAATGCAATCAAAAGCCAAAAACAAAAGCTGGCCCTTTTCAGAGCCAACTTTGACGATCGTTAGCCTGAACATTAAGGGAATCACCAAGAATAAAGAAGATATAATATCGCAACTATGCCAATCAGAAAAGTGGGACGTACTATGCCTGCAGGAAACGCATAGAGATGAAACAGCAAACAGACCCAATATTAAAGGAATGCGTCTGGCTATAGAAGCACCTCACAGAAGGTACGGGAGCGCAATATTTACCAGACCCGACATGCTGCTCTCATCCACGAGTAAGAAAATAACCCACGACATTGAAGTGTTAACTATCGAGAGCAGATCATTCACGATAAGCTCCGTATATAAACCCCCTGGCCAAAACCTAGACCTTTCAATGCCAGGAAACTTTAACAACCAGAAGACTCAATTTGTTGTGGGCGATTTTAACTGTTACAGCACCACCTGGGGATATGGCGAAACAGACACCAATGGTCAATTGCTGGAGCAATGGGCTGAGGCTACCAGCCTCTCACTTCTCCACGATCCCAAGCTCCCTTGCTCTTTCAACAGCAAAATTTGAAAGCGAGGTTATAACCCCGATAATTGCTTTGTCAGTAGGAACATCCATGACACCTGCTGCAAAAATGTATATAATGCAATTCCAAAGACACAACACCGACCTATCGGAATCCAAGTCTACTCTACAATCAAAACAACCAAAATACCTTTCCGTAGGAGATTCAACCTTATAAAAGCCAGGTGGCCTAAATACACACAAGTGCTGGGTGAGGAAATAGCCAATTTGGCCCCAACACCAAGCAACTACCACATCTTTGTTGAGTCCCTGCGAAAGATATCCAGACGATATATTTCTAGGGGCTGCAGACAACATTACATTCCAGGGCTCTCGAATACCTCAAGGGACACCCTGGAGCAGTACGAACAATTGTTTGCGGAAGATACATTCAGCGATCAAACCATCACCTGCGGAACAGCTTTAATGACAGCCCTCAGCGAGGCACGTGAGAAGAAATGGATAGAAACACTGGATAGAATGGACATGTCTCATAGTAGTAAAATAGCTTGGAATCTAATAAAGAAACTGGATGGTGACCCAAAACTAAGCAAGGCCCCTGCCAATGTAACACCCAATCAAGTGGCAAACCAACTCCTTCTAAATGACAAATTCAACTCCAAACGCCAGAAAACCAAAATCAAACGCCTAATACCAACTGAAAACACCAACTTTCAGAAATCATTTATCGTGAAAGAGTTGAACAATGGTATAAATACCATGAAGAATGGAAAAGCCGCTGGGATTGACGATATATGCGTGGAACAGATCAAAAATTTCGGTCCTGGAACCAAAAAATGGATACTGAAACTTTTCAACGTATGTCGCGAAACCTTTCAAATTCCAAAACTGTGGCGGAAGTCAAAAGTAGTAGCCCGGAAAAGATCCAGAGTCTCCGAAAAGCTACCGACCCACATCCCTCCTTTGCCATCTGTTTAAGCTCTACGAAAGACTAATCCTCTACAGAATAGAGAAGACCGTCGATTCAAAGCTGATTCCACAACAGGCAGGATTCAGACCTGGAAAGTCCTGCACCAGTCAAATCCTCGCATTGACAGAACATATCGAGGAGGGTTTTGAGAATAAATACATTACAGGGCTGGCCCTAGTCGACCTAAGTTCCGCCTATGACACGGTAAACCACATGATATTACTGCATAAAGCCAATGAGACCTTGAAAGATTACCACCTAGTCAAGATACTCGAATCCTTGCTCCAAAACAGGCAGTTTTCGTGACGCTCGAGGGCAAAAAGAGTCGATGGCGAAACCAGAAGAATGGGTTGGCACAAGGGAGCGTGCTGGCACCAATTCTTTTCAACATATATACAAATGACCAACCTATTCCAGATAACACTAGAACCTTTGCATATGCAGATGACCTAGCAATAACAGTTGAAGGCAAAGGGTTCGAAGATATCGAGGAGGAACTAGAAAGCGCCCTAAAAACAATGTCAACCTATTACAAAAAGAATTATTTAAAACCCAACCCCACCAAAACTAAAGTGAGTGCATTCCACCTTAATTCGAGACAGGCGACCCGCAGACTTAATGTTACATGGGACGGGACACTACTAGAACACACAGATAAGCCTACCTATCTTGGCGTCGTGCTGGACAGAACATTGACTTACAAATATCACTGCGAAAAAACACGCAAAGAAGTAGAAGCATGAAATTCCCTTATAAGGAAGCTGACCAATAGTAAATGGAAAGCCAAACCTACCGTGGTCAGAACTTCTGCTCAAGCTCTGTGTTTTTCAACTGCAGAATATGCCTGCCCAGTGTGGTGTAGATCTGTCCATGCAAAAAAGGTGAACATCAGTCTGAATGAAACATGCAGAATAGTGACAGGTTGTATGAAACCCACCCCCTTAGAAAACCTTTACAAGGCCGCAGGTTTTACAAGCCCCGATTTACGCAGAAAAGCTCATGAACATACTGAGAAGTTAAAACAAACCTTTGATGCTCGTCACTCAATTTTTGGCCAAGAGTGCGGCACAGGTAGACTTATATCAAGACGCCGTTTCCTAAGCCACCCCCTGGATGAACCTCCCTCCCACTACCCCTTAGAGAGGACCCACCAAATGGTGTTTCTAGCGACTGGAAAACCTGGAGAATGCTCAACCGAATCAGAACTGGGCTGGCCCCAGTAAAATCCAATTTGATCAAATGGGGTTTGCTGGACAGAAATGGCGACAAATGCGACTGCGGCGCCTTTCAGGACATGGAACATCTTCTTCAATGTCCTGCGTGCCGCCACAGATGTGCCCTCGATGACCTGTGGCTGACTAAACGGGAAGCATTGGACGTAGCCCATTATTGGGTTAATAAACTATAATATAATCCGGATACGAAAAAGTAAAGTAAGTCCATTCGGAATTTTGTATTTAGAATGCTTTCGAAATCAGAATTTCGAGAAGACAACAACAATGTGTGATCGAAATAATTTCTCTAGTAAATTATCTCATGCAAAATCGCTATTAGAAAATATTCTATATTTAATACCAAAAACTTTTAGTTGCATAATCGAGGCCGCAATTTTTAAATTCATTGTTGCCAACCAAGTTGTTCCATTTATTTATTTATTTCCTGACATTGTCATTCGTTTTGACACTTTAGTTTTGTATGAGTTTTTGGTTTAAATAGTGTTGTGATACTTTAAGTATAAAATGTTTACTAGCAGACCTTGCAGTCGAACATTGCTCTTTTTAGAACCTCTTTTAATGCGAAGTGTACAAGGCAGCTTAATAGCTGTAAAAAACTCATCGCAGCTTTATTAGAATATTTTGAACGAGAAAGCGGTAGTAATGGCCTTTATGTCCCTATGGTGTTGCTAAAAAGATGAGTTTTGTTGCTATAAATAACGACTAATAATGTTTACATGTATGTTTATAATTAATTTATTTTTGTTTCCTAAAATATTTTGATCAAAAGAAAATATGTAAAAATTGGCAACGCTGTGCCGGTCAAGCTTAATCACGTCACTAAAAGTTTATTTGATTTGAACTATAAATGAAATGTCTTAAACTTAATAATACTTACGTATACAGGCTGATCATGGCATACTTTTCAAAGTAATCTTCTAAATCAGTCCGCACTTCCGCATTGAGGTCTTGGTAAACGGGATAAGAATTAATGCGTGTGTTGTATAAATTGTAGTATTTCTGAGCCATTTCCGCCAGTTCGTCGACTGGTTTTAAATCCACCTCACTTAGCATCTTCGTGATGAACGCTTGTGCGCATTTCTCAAAGTCCTTCCTTACGTTGTCGTCTAAGTAGCCATATTTTGAAAGAAATTGCGTCATCAGTTTATTGGCGTCAGGATTGTTTTGTCTCGTGTTAACATATTTTTCGGGTTTCCCTGATTCTACAATTGCATAAACCATTTTATTAAATATGGATATTACATAAATTACTATCAAGTCAATAAATTTAAAAAAGTTACTTTTCAAATTTAGGAAAATACTATAGAAAGTAGCTATTTTCCAATCACAATTTGAGCTGCTGTTTGTTCATTCGATATTGTATATTTCACTTCCCATAATTGTTTTTTAGTATGTAATCCTCATATAAAATATTTTTTTTTGAAACGTCACAAAAGTATTAATTTTTGTGACGTGATTGACAATATAAAAAAATCATTTTAACGCCTAGGCATAAAAGTAAAGCACTTTTACGCCTAAGCACAAAGGCACGAAAATATATTATTAAACTGACACGAAGTGTCAAATTCAACGAGCGTAACCATAGTTTCTCGATATATAATTACATACAAGGCACATATAAAGGAAATAAATTTAGATTGGAACGTCCCAAGGATACTATAGAGATAAGGATAGTTCGATTCCTATCTTCCTGCACTGTCAGTTTTTTTACGTCATCTACTGACCGAGTTGAAGTTGGCGCTAAAGATTTTAGACAGTGAGTTATTTTTGCATTTGACGGAAGAGCGCACAGTGCGTTGGAAGATAAATTTAACGGGACAAAAGCGTTTGGTTAGAAATAAGCCAAAAAATGTGTACTGATAAAAATAAATAGTAGACATTCCAATTGATACAAAAATGCATGAATATTCTTTGTATTTCGATACATTTTTATCAACCAAATTTGGTCGTTTTCTGCTCAGCAAGGCAGAGATCATACGAAAACAAAATATTTACAAGTGCTTATACATTTTATTAGAAAGCCAAATTATGTTGAAGATTGCCAAAGATATGTACTTTTCTACTGTACGTATATTATTTGTTAAAATCCTTCGGGCCTTTGTTCTGCAGATATCAAACTTTCACTTTTTTTTCAAATATCGATATATTGAATGATGTAGATCTTTTGAGTTACCAATAGCTACCAACACAGGTAGTCACAGTCACAGGGAGTTCAAGCTTAACAGGTTTGAATGCCCAAAAAGATTAATTTCAATCGGATAGTATAAAAACAAAACAACTCCATCAAAAGGCACTGAGTTTAAAAAATTGTCTTAGATACTTACTATATATGAATTTACAATTACCGAGTGTTAAAATTAAAATTAAAATATCTATCTTATTTATTATTTTCAAAATAAAATATATTTTTTAAAATAAATTATAGAGGGTGTCACAAGATTACAAATTAATTAAAAAAAAACTGCTAAAGAGTTTTTTGATATCATAATTTTATGTATTTGGCAATAGTTTACAATACGGTTTTTGTGTGTCATGTACGAATAATATCATAGTTCTTGTATTTATTTATTAATAAATTAAGTTGTTAATAAATAAATAAATTTAACCATATTGTTGCTATATATTAGACCATTTGCTACGGTTCTTAGATTTTAAGTCCCAAACATTGCTCTTGAGATTTTGTCCCGCTAGAATAACCATCCGCTGCACTGTGGAGCGCTGGTCAGCGCGTGACGTAGCATTCCACGGCGACTACGACAGCGGCAATTTGACGCGATCGAACAGTCCTTTAGAATATATACAGTCCTTGGAAAAGTCCGTCAAAATATGCAATATTTTGGATCGCGACCATAGACAAACAAATAAAAAGAGACTGGCAAATTAAATGGCAAAGAGAGGGACAACGTTCCCGTAGCGCAACTCAGAATGCAAAATTTCATTCTATTTATGTCGATCTGCGCATTGCGTCTATTGGGCCCACTATCTCATTCTAATATAACAAGAGAGAAAGAAGCAGCCACATAAAACGTAATTTCTAAATAGAAATTAGAACAATCAAACAATCGCCTTTTGTTTTCATCATCATGACAACCAAGATGACAACATCATGACAATTCGTCATGTTTGTTAATTTTTCTTTTGGTGATTTACCTTTTTTTCTAAACTCTACATTTTATTGACTTATGAATATGGATAGGGAACAAATTCCTTTGTTCCATATAGGTATTTATATTTTGTTACTTATAATTTTAGGTTATACTATTTGTTATTTTATTTGCTGCCGGAGCCAGTATCATCTATTTTCTATATGTATTGGTGCCCCCTTTCTCTGATAGATATGTTAAAGACACTCGGTAAAATAAAAGTAAGTAGTTATATTTATCATCTTATTAAGAAAAAAGTAGAAGTAGTAGTGTCAAAAATATTTCGAACCTCTCTTAACATAAGAAATTAATACAATTAATTTTTTTCATTTTTTAGGTAGGTAGTTTATAGCTGGTTTATAGTAACCAGAAACTTTATTAATATACCTATTTTACTTTTGTTTTAGGATTAAAACTGGACTTGAAAATGGTTCAGGATCATGATTCTCGTAAAGTCTTTTTTGCTTGGATATTCACTTTGTTATTGCAATTAGGCAGTTTTTCGAAAATGAGATTTTTAATGCCCTTTAAAAAAATTGGCCGATCGTTTCCTGCAACAGTCAGTTCTTCTGCATTTAAAATTGGTAAGTGGGTGGAATAAACACTGTTATTTTTGTTATTATATTATAAAAAGTTTATTTATTTTTATGTATAAATAAATATGTTTATAAAACAGTACAATTTTTGCTTTTTTTATAATTTCCCTTATAATAGTAGTATTCTTTCGTTCTGAAAGAAACTGAAAATTTTCACTTAAACTGATTTATTCCCTACACCACGTTCCCTTTACGTGGTATAGGGAATAAATCAGTTAAAGTGAAAATTTTCAGTTTCAGAATGAAAGAATACTACTAATAATGGCCAATTTAAATTTTCCGCCAGCCAGAATGTGCGATAATGTCTTACGATACGTTTTATACCTATCTCTTTCTTTTTCATATAAAGCACACATAATAAAGAAAGATAGCAATAAAGACGTACGTCCTGCCATGATCCTGCTAATTGGTTTCAAAATGGTTATTCTGAGTTGCGCTACGGGAACGCGGTCCCACTCTTTACCATGGGATTTGTCAGTCTCTTTTTATTTGTTTGTCTATGGTCGCGACTGTTGTACGCGACCTGGCGCTGCTATAGCGGTTGCTAAGAACAACCGCAAACAATAACAGAAATAGTTTTCTCTTGTCAAAGTCAGAATCTTCAAAAATTATAAAATCTTTCAAAATTTTAACCGCCCTCATTGAAAAAATACCGAAAAGTGTTTAAAAAGTGGACTTAAAAACTAAAAAACTGTGTTGTGAACTGTGAACTGCAAAAACCATCGTGGATGGCATAACAGTAGTAGGTAACGTAGGTATAGCAACGTCGGAAAAACACATATTTTAAGACGTCTGGCACTTTGATATATCTTTTACTATGCTCTCTAGAACAGCATGCGGCCCATCTGGCTGCCGGTAAACGGTGCGTTCCCTACTGCGCATTGAAAGAAGATCCTATATTTTTATTAGTCCTTTAAAATCTAGTATTGAATATAAATCGATCATGTCTCCATAGCGCAGTGCGTAGAGTTTCCGACCATGAACCGATGATTCAGAGTTCGAATCCGGGTCATGGCAGAGACTTTTTTATTTTATTTTCGTTTATATTCTGATAGTAAAGTATTAAACATGTATTTTTTTTTAATTACCAGAATTATTTAATATTTTACTATCAGAATATAAACGAAAATAAAATAAGTCTTTGACCTCACCCGGATTCTCTCTGAGTTGATAAATTGATAACTCTGAATCATCGTTTCGTGGTCGAAAACTCTACGCACTGCGCTATGGAGACAAGTTCGATTTATATTCAATACTAGAATTTATAGGACTACATTAATAAAAAAAATATAGGATCTTCTTCCGATGCGCAGTAGTGAACGCAACGGGTATCAGCAGCCAGACGGACCGCATGCTGTTCCAGAGAGCATAGTAAACAACATATCAAAGAGCCAGACGTCTTAAAATACTTTCTCGAAAACGTTGCTAGCTCTTAGACTATTATATAAAATAAAGTTTCTTGTAAGCAACACACTGTATTTTATTTATAAAATTAAAAGAAAATAATAAATTTGAATAAATAATATTTGGCGACATAATTCCGGAAAAAAACCGAACCGATACGAAATTATCAAAAGCTTTGGGTCGCGATTTATGGGCACTTTCCAATCTAAACTGGTTCATAGACAAACTTGTTTCATTTATCTATGCACAAAAGTACGAAAATATATTATTAAACTGACATGATGTGTCAAATTCAACGAGCGTAACCATAGTTTGTCAATATGTAATGACATACAAGGTATTACTTTTAAATCTTTTTATAAATTTGAAATTGCTTAAAAATTATTTGTGGCCTTCGAAAAAATAGCATGTTCTATTCGGAGGAAAAATGACGTTTTGTGGCTCGCCTGTATGTCAAACATACGTCAAACGTACAGCTTGGCCGCGAGAAGTGTCGTTTTTACTCCTAATAAAACAATATAGGTACTATTTCTACAAAAAAAAAATAAAAATATACCAAACATCTAACTTAAATTGATTCATTTTTAAGAATAAAAAAATATCGTAAAAAAATATTGTAAGTTGTACCACATATCGTCCTATTGCTGCCAAAAGTCACTAACATTTTTCCGAACAACCAAATTCAATCACTATGTTTTGAAGCGGAGAATCGATTGCAAAAGTCATTAACTACGATTTCTGGCAATTTATGTTTTATTTTAATACCGAATAGTTACTAACTATAACATCTTTATCCCTTAACTGGTCCGGTAATAGATATGAATCATAAACCGTCCGGCGTAGTCTGTGGGACTACGCCTTCTAAAAAGTAAAAAGAACACAAAAACTAAAAAATAACAAATTTTTATTTTATTATATATTATATTATGTATTATTGAACTAATCTAGACAAAAATGGGTTCAATTATTGTAAACTTTAAAAAAATATAGTACAGGGTGTCCCATTTTGGTTGAAATCATACGGTATCTCCGTTATTAGTGAAGATAGAAGGGTGCGGTTTGCACAAACCTGTCTCACTTTTTTGTTAAACGAAAGATGCCGTAAACAAAATTTTCATAGCCTTCTTCGTTTCCGAGCTACAGGGTCTTTTTGAAAATTTTGCAATTTGGGACACCTCCTGTATCTCTGTTATTGTTAAAGCTATCGAGAAGGTAAAAACTGTTTATTGTAGAACTTTTTACGTAGAATACAGCGGCGTAGTCTGTTTTTCTACCAAAAAAATATTTTTGAAAATATGAACTAAAGTTATGTTTTTTTAAATGGAACACCCTGTATATTTATAAATCATATGATCTGTTTTGCCATAGGCTTCTCAAAAATATATATCACTCTATATTTATTTTCACTATTTACTGCAATATTTAAAAGATTTTATTAACAGATCACATTTATTAGTAGGCCATGATTGATAATAAAAGAAACTAAAGAATTATTAAAAGTATACTGCTATCTGTCTCTTGTTTTATTTTGGGAGCCGCTAATAAATTCTTTATATATTAGCGAAACTTAACTCTCTACCTCTATTTGTAAATCTTGGAATATGTGTATACGTAAGAATAATCTATCGTATCGGAAATTTTAGATATTCCTTTAGCTAATTTACGTGAAATATACTTTCAGCAAGATGGGGAACATTCCCCCTCATAACTATGGAAATATTAGAATACTGTTAAATTATTTTTCAAATCAATGAATTGGAGCCAATGAACGCATATTGATAGCCTCCTCGATTCCCGGATTTCGCCGTTCTCGATTTCTGATTTTGGGGATTTTTGAAATACGAAATATATCGTGAACACTACAACAATGTCGAACACCTGAAAAATGCTTTAATAATTCAAGATTTAGATATTTGCAAACCCATCCCGTTATAAAAAAAAAGAAAAATATATTCACAGTTTCAGTGGTAACAGTTATTTCAAAAGTAAAATATATCAATCCCAAATAAATTTTAATATGTGTATGACTATTTTAAATACCATTTTGATTTTTTGTTATTTATCACGGCCTACTAATAAGAAAATGATATATTTTAAATATTGCAGTAAATAGTGAAAATAAATATAGAGTGATATATATTTTTGAGAAGCTCGTAGCAAGACAGATCATATTATTTATAAATATACAGGGTGTTCCATTTGAAAAAACATAACTTTAGTTCATATTTTCAAAAATATTTTTTTGGTAGAAAAACAGACTACGCCACTGTATTCTACGTAAAAAGTTCTACAATAAGCAGTTTTCGCCTTCTCGATACCTTTAACAATAACAGAGATACAAGGGGTGTCCCAAATTGCAAAATTTTTGAAAAGACCCTGTAGCTCAGAAATGAAGAAGGCTATGAAAATTTTGTTTGCAGCATCTTCCGTTTGACGAAAAAGTGGTACAGGTTTGTGCAAACCACACCCTTCTATCTTCACTAATAACGGAGATACCCTATGATTTCAACCAAAATGGGACACACTGTACAAAATAAAATAACATACATATAAATTTGAAAAAAAAAACAATTAGATTTTTACTAAGCTCTAAAAAATAAAACCAAATTACTAACAGTTATTACAATATAGAAATAAGTTTCTAATACTATATATATAAAAAAAATAAGTTATAAAACTGAAGTTAAAGAAAAAGTTTTTAGTTACAGCATGAGGCAAAGTTCATTGTTTTCCTGACCATGTTTTACAAAATGGATTCGTACATTCTAGGCATTAAAAATAATTAACTAGGACATAACATTGTCTTTAACTAGGATAAGAATATCTCCGTAGGCGTGTTCTGGTTGTACAGGAATTGCAAGTATTCTACCAATTGTAAAGTGTATTTCTCTTGGAATATTTGACATTGTCAAACGCATTTGTCTGGCAGATTGTCATATTGTCACTTTCACAGTCCTCATCATATCATTTTAATAGAGTTTCTTCATAACTAGAGTGTCCTAAACGCACTCTTTTCGAAGGTCCGGCTATATTTTACAAAAATTTGTCACACACAAAATCTTACACAAACGGTCCGGCGTCGTCTGAGAGACTACGGCTAAAGTAACTTCTGCCATAAGTTCTAAAAAACTAATCCAGTTTGGGCATAAATATGGCTATCAGTCGTTGACCGAGAGGGGAAGGATTAGCCGGAACGCCAATCCTGTAGGCGGTCCCAGTAACTAATGAGAATGAGTTAATTATTTGGCGTAGCCTGTCAGAGGACGCCGGAGCAGTTAAGGGTTATGCAATGCGCAATTCATCTTTAGACGCATTTTTCTCGGAAGTAATAAAAAGTAAGTTAGTGACTTTTGGCAGCAATGGGACGATATAATGATTGATTTGAAATTCCACAAACCTTTTAAAATCGATTTTATCCAAAACGTATCTTAGATACTGATTACAATTTGTTACTTACGCTACTAAATAAACTAGGAATACAATTTTTATATTGGAAAATTTGATGTTATAACAAAAAAACAAACTGCAAAAATTTTAATCATCTGTTGAATGACGAATAGATAGCAAAATGCGTGCGTTCAAAGTTTAATCCAAAGTATTTTCGCGTATTGCGATTGAGTAATGATGTTCTTGTAATTTTGTAAACACGGAAAAGTAAACTTTTAATACTGACCTTTAATGCTGGATGTTTTTCTAAACACAGGTAAACTCTTCAAATATTTATTTTTTTTGTCAGTTTGCTGCCTCTTCTTCTCTTCGAATTTACTAAAGCCCGGAACTTGACTTTTCGACGATTCGGCGTGGTGTTCCCTTAGCTGTACATGCTTCGACTTCTGGCGCCTTTCCATCTCCATCTGGTTGCGATAACATTTTGAACAGTATCCTAAAATTGCAATTACTCTCAATATGCATTTTTACAAGTAATTTGTTATCAATATCAACCTTTACATAGAGGATATATTTTTTTGCAAATAAGCTTGATCATTAACTTCGAAAACAGAGGAAGTAACATTGTTTGGAATTTATGACATTTCAGTTGAAAATCAAAACAGAAAATAAAAGGATTAAGAAATAACATATTTCGATCTAGTATTAGAATTTATCAGGAGTCAGATTGTCTGATCATAACTGCGGTGTTTTTAATTTCCTTCTGTTTGTTGTTGAGGGAACAGCCTTGAAGATATTAAGGATGTTGTAATAATTATATAAATTTCAATATGAAAACTAAATCGCTGATATCATATTCAGTGCCAAAGTTATAAAAATAAAGAAATACATATTATATAGACTTAAAATGACTACATTGTTTATCACTTAAATTAATATACATATAGAATCACAAACAATCCAAGATGAAAACAATGATTTTCGGATAGTAAAAAATCATCTTTCCTTGAGAACATAACAAATATTTAAACAGGAGGATAAAAATATTTAATTATCATAACAATAACCTCCACACTTAAGGTATGTTAATCTTTGTGACATTGTTTTTAAAAATCCCAACAATGCAATGTTTCAAAACCAAATTGCAATTAAAGTGTTAAGCCTAGTTTTTATGCATCCGTATTTTGGATGTTTTCTGCGAAAAACAATAGGCGGTACAAAATTAGTCATACGTTAAAAAAGTTTTAATGATTATCCAAAGGAATTTCGGACGTTTTGATCTGACAGCTGCCTACATAAATTATTGAATTATTCAAGATCTATCTTTCTTTAATTTAGGACATTAATATTTGACAGAAAACGACCGAAATTCGGACACATAAAAAGTACGCTTAAGTGCGGGTTTATATGCATCCGTCTTGCGGTTTAAATTCTGTCGTTGATTTTATGGAGTTTTATTGATTTATTTCAAAAATGACAGGTACCTCAATACGATTGGTATGACGGAGCGACGGACTACGCATGACGGATGCATACAAACCCACCTTAATGCGGATTTTCCAGCGTCCGATATCCGACGTTGCCACACTTATTTATTTATTTCCTGACATTGTCATTCGTTTTGACACTATAGTTTTGTATTACGAGCAATTACTAGTTTTTGGTTTAAATGAATGGTATTGTGATACTTTATTGGTACAGTTAAAAATTTTCGGGTAAAAAGTAGCGCGAAAACAATATGACCATTCAGTGCGCCATCATATGATCGTATCAACGGATAACGGATACATAAAAATCCCCCGTTAAGCATAAAAAATTGAAGAGTATTAAATACTACAATTGCATTGTCAAAATATCATGTTATCCCATTATACCAAAAGGTAAAGACAAATAAAAACTGTCTGAAAATAAATGATCCCCCACTTAAAATATATAGGTAGTAATCATGCAAACATAAGAATTATTACTTTTGACAAAAAGCACAACTTACACAATAACACTATTTTATGCCCCGGATTTCAAATAAAGGAAAATACAAATTAATAGATTCAAATACATCGTGAACAATACCATAACTAGTTAGAACTGGCGCAGATGGTGTTTTAAGGACACCGACGCAATTTAGGGTTATCTCAATCCAGACCTTTCTTCGCAAAACAATGATGAAATTGTCACATTTGAAGGCAGTAGCCAGTTAAATCCAGATTTAATTATAGGGTATGTTATTATTACAATTACATCCTAATAAAAGCCAAAGATAACGTCCATAATCTTCTTCTAGATCGCAACTTGTATTTAGGATCAATTAATATTGAGTGTGAACTGTGAATCTTAGTACACTTTGGACTTAGTTCAAAACACGTATATGCGGAATACGGTGCCCATATTACAAAAAATAGATTCCTATACATCAGTCAAATGTAATTAATTAAAAGTTTGTCCATGCAGATCGAACAGAGCTGGCATCAGGCTCTATAGCCCTAGTAATCCAGTAAAATTGTTTCGCCGTATAGAGAGTGAAAAAAACATTACGGGCAAGCTGATTTTTTCAGAGTTTGTCAACGACTGTCTTCTGAGTGTAATATTAACAAAATCGGAAATTTTCCCCTTGCGGTTTCTGAGCAATAGGGGTGTTTTTTTTAAACTGTACTACAACAAAATAATTAGACGCAAATTATACATAAGAACATTCTCTATAAGTTCGCCTAATGAATTTTTTTTATAAGTTTATTATTTCCGGACTTAGCGGCCGTTTCATGAGCCCTTTGGGGTGGTTTTCAAAAAGTTTGTTTTACAGCAAATTGACCCCTATGAAAGTTGTTCATAATAAATGGACAAGCAACTTTTCCTCATGATTTTTTTTGTAGCTTCATTATTTTTGGTTTGGAGATAGCGTCCAGTTCATAAACAAATTAGGGTAGGTTTCAGTGTTACTCTTTTTTCAGCAAATTCACCCTAGGAAACTCGTTGAATATAAGAGTACATATACCTTTGCCTTATGAACTTTTTTTGTATCTTGACTATTTTTGGAGATAGCTCCCAGATCTTGAACAAGTGGTGCTAGCTTTAAATGTCTTTTTTTCAGGAAATTCACAAGTGCTATTTCACTTGATGAATTCCATGTTTCGTTTTGGGGAAATAAATACATATCATAGGGAAGTTTGCATGTAATTTTAATATGAACACCTTTAAGTTGGTAAATTTGTAGAACTAAACAAAAATTATGAAACTACCCCAATTTGTTCATGAACTGAACGCTATCTCCAAAAATAATATAGCTACAAAAAAAATCATGAGCAAAAGTTGCTTGTCCATTTATTATGAACAACTTTCATAGGGGTCAATTTGCTGTAAAACAAACTTTTTTAAAAAACCACCCCAAAGGGCTCATGAAACGGCCGCTAAGTCCGGAAATAATAAACTTATAAAAAAATTCATTAGGCGAACTTATAGAGAATGTTCTTATGTACAATTTGCGTCTAATTATTTTGTTGTAGTACACAAGTAGGGGTGTTTTAAAAACAAAACACCCCTATATTGCTCAAAAACCGCAAGGGGAAAATTTCCGATTTTGTTTATTTTACACTCAGAAGTCAGAAGACAGTCGCTGACAAACTCTGAAAAAATCAGCTTGCCCGTATTTTTTTTTTTAAATGACAATTTTATTAGATTATAGAAATGGTAATTTTATAGAACTACAAATTTAGTTTCTTCCGCATCGCCAGACGGCGCAAAAGACAAAGTACAGGTTTCTAATTTAAATATCACGATGACATGACCGTCTGTGGTCTAGTTTTGGCCTAGTCAGACCATGGTCAGACCTAGTTGACAAAATGTTGGTCATAGAAATGTTGGTGATCCGTCAAATTATTTTTAAATCATTATTTAAATAAGTATTAATTATTACTGATTTGTCTGAGAGTTCGGTGATTTGTGTTTACAGTTTTTGTTTTTATTAGTTTGTGGGGTGAAAAATGTTATGTTTTGCCGTTAATGGCTTTCCTTCTATTTTTTTATGTCTATCCGTTTCTGGTCGAAACAGATAGACGTTCACGTGACGCCCTATGGGGTCAGGTACATAGGGAGAGTTGCGTCGAACACATAGTTCTCTTTCCAACGTAAAAATGACTTTTTCAGATAGGTACACCGGTTTTAAATTTCGAATATTGTCTATTAGTTCTTAGTTTCTTAAGTACGCCGATTTTAACTTTTGAATATATTATCTATTAGTTCTAACAAATCGTCCCTATTCTAAGAGAAATATGATAATGTAATAAATTGCTAAAGGCATTTTTCATTTGACGTTTAAGTTAATGTAAAATTTACTAAATAATTTTTGGGAAATTTGATTGGTCTAGGGGGGCCGGTTACTCCCCAGACCAATCAAATCTGCCCCTAGACTAATTACCCCCATTACCCCTTCCCTAAAACCGCGCTTCGCTATTATAATATCAAAATATCCCATCAGATTCAAACTAGTTGTGAATGATCATCCTATTATTAAAGCTTTAAACAGAGTATTGTTGATATTTCGGCACCCATGCGTCAAATTGTAAACATCTACATCCGGAAGTCAGAAAACAGCTTAACAAAGCTTCTAGTCAAGCTTCAACGCAAGCTTGAAGAAAAAGTTCCAAAACTTCAAGAATATCAGAAAACATGATGAATATAATCTGGAGATACATGTACGTAAGTGTTATGGCTACAGAAAGTAAAGTACCTACAGAACTGATATAAGGCCAGTATTAACTTACGAAAACCTATAAAACCCCAAAAATAAAAATAATGTTACGCGCAGTCAAAATTAAAATATTAATCTGATCAAAGGAGTTACTCTGGCAAATGTATATATGTAGGCTTGGTAAAGACAAGACCCCTCGGTCAAGACGCAGATATTGGAACCTTCGAGTGCGTTGGAAAAATTTTAATCTGTCCACACGTAGGAAAGACTTTGAGTTTGTCTCGTCGTAGGCCAACATCAACATCGGATAGCCGGATGATAGCGGCTGTTACGATTTATTTATTTAGTGCTTATAGATACTACCTAAGTATGCACCATCACAGATTTGTCAAAGACAATGAAAAAAAGATGGTGGATGCTTACTATAGATCGAAATAGAAAATAAGTCTCACAGTCAGCTGCTGTATTGAGCAGTAATGAGAAATAAGATAAAAACCTAATTTTGTGTTTTGATTGGTCGGGATTATCCGTGGCTTTGCAACTCACTAGACGTTAGTAACTATACACACAGCAAAATATCACCGAGTAACCAACAAACGTGGAGACGCATCTGTGAACGATACGACTTACTCCCTTTGATGTGTCTTGAAAAAAACGACAAAAGACGAATCGCTCGCCAATACATGAGCCAACTCAGCCAATGCCACTTTCATGATCAACAGTTCCCTCTATACGTTGGCCATGAGCACATAAGCACTGACCAGCTATATTGGCACATGTATTAGCAAACGTGTAGAGCGGCCATAAGGTTAGTCGTTTCACAAAAAATAATAATATCAACGGTAGATTGAGTAGTATCTTACTTTATCTCTTCTAACTAGTTGAAGCCTGGCGCATCCGCCACGATATCAGGAGAAAAAATATTTTTTATTTTGTTTTAATTAAATGAAAAACAAAAAATCCGGCAACGACAGTTTTTAGAAAAGCCAATTAGCTATATTTTAGTAAAAAAGCAACTTTCTAGAGCAAGTCGTTACTTCAATAGAGACGACACAGATAAACATTAGCATTTAGAGGATACCCGGCAAATACAGCAAAATCTGGACCCCTGTAAAGTAATTACAAATATAAGATAATTTTATTTATACTTAATCAATCAGAAAATTAAAAATCAAATTACTTATCATAATCATAAAGAATTTAAAACATCTATTTCTGTCTATTACAGAGTGGTTATATAAATAAAAATTAAATGTTCGTTGATAAGCGCATCACTTGAAAACAGCTGAATCTACTTAGCTAAATTTTATTTTTTAATACTTGAGTTGTTTTTAGAGGGAGGCAAAATTAAAGTCCTATAAGGTTAAATTAAAAAAATATTCTCGGTAACAACAAATTTGTTACGCCCTCCCGTTTACATAAAATATTATATCATGTAAATGAATAGGACAATGCACACTACACTCCCTTCCGTTCCATATCCTTTCCTTCCATACATTTTTTTAGCGGACGGACTGAAACAGCGTTATCAAGTTCTTACATTTGTACCAACTCTGTTAACATTTTGCTGGTATTTATTTATTCTTTCACCTCTTAATTAAATCTATTACCTTTTTGAAAAGGTACTAACTTTTAAAATAAAACTTTCGTAATGATATAACCTGTACAATAAAAATCAGGGTCACTGATACGGAATGGAAGCTTGGATTGACGTTATACGTCGTCAACATAATAAAAAATACGGAACGGATATGGAATGGAAACGGAAGGTATAGTGAGAATCAACCTTTAAGATGACGGATGACAGTGAAGGAACACTTCCGGTTAATACTGCTATGAAAATTTAAAAAAAAATATCCCTATCACTCCAGCCAGTGATGGACAGTAAACAGCATTTAATTTTAATTTTTATAGTTTGGCACAACATTGCATCATGATTTGCAACATTGCATCATTGCATTATGATTTATTTAATTTTTGTCATTATGCTCTATCTCGTAATATTAATTTATTTATATTTATCCACGATTTAATCTTAAATTAAGGAATCGCCCGTAACAATGTAACCCAAAAAAATATTTAATAAAGATATCATTTTTTTTAGAACTCGCCTATTTCAGAATAGTAATACAGATATATTCAAGATACATTTGATTTAAAAAAAATATAGATTGCTGTCACATTAGACTACTGCTGTCAAAAATTTAACTATATCAGCTTAGATTATCACTGATCTGTTACCTTTTTCATTAAAAAATATTTTGTCTACATTTAATCTTAATTAAAGATGGATTCTATATAGGGTGTCCCAATATTCCGTGGACGTAGAACTGCTCCGTATTTTTGGAATCAAAATAAGGCCATTGGATACCATTTACCTCCATACAACATAGAGGGTATCAATCAAAAATAAACCCCAACGTTAATTAATTTAACATTTATGAAGCTTATTGTCAAATATCATTTGTGATACTAACATAAAATTCTATAATTTCGCTAACTATATGATTAGAGCATAATAGATGTTACGCGTCAACATAGCTCGATGTCACAAGAAACATTTTTTGGAAGTCAGATTTGGAAAAATATGTTTCCTGAAAAAGTATGCGCGGTGGCGTTTTTTACAAGAGACAAAATCTGTAGTTATCGGTGGAGTTATGGTATATGTAAAATATTTATACTAAAATTTATACAGGGTGAGTCTTAAATAAGTGCAAATATTTTCAGGGCTAGTAGATCTCGATAAAAAAAAACATATTTTCTCTTTACCATTTTTCAGACAAGTCCAAAATAACCCAGTTATTTAAGTTGGAAAATTAAAAAAAAAATGCTTTTATTTTTGAAAAAAATTTGAGAGCCACCAGCCAAGATTTTTTCTGTATTTTCATCCATTCCTTTGAATAAAAAGACTAAGAAAAGAGCATATCAAAAATCTTAGGTCCACCGCGATAGGCCGTTTAGGGTGCCGGTGGGTTATATAGATTTATCAGTACCGTTCTGATTTTATTTAAAAAATGTAAATGTGATGTACCTATGATGTAGGGTAAACGTGGGGTAGACTCAATAATTTGTTAGTTTATTTTACGTTGTGAATACATGTTGGTAGTTATTAAAATTGTTATAAAAATATAAAATTCTAATAAAAATAGATAAGTTATAATAATTATTTATAACCATAAACATCCGATACGGTACTGAAGCAGGTCAGTCAAATTGACGTATCTAAATTCTTTGACATCTAATCTTTGACAAGTAGTAAATAAAAGCAAAAATGCAAGAAAAATATATACTAAGTTAATTTAAGTGAATTTCATAAATGATCGGTTTTACTACACGTATGTATATTATATAGTCACTTACTAGCGAAAAGTTGTTCCATTATTTCACTCGATTTTGCCGAGATCTACCGCACGCTACACAACCACCTATTTTAGAGTCTTTTCGATAAATCGCGATAGTGTCACTGTTAATTTAAGTTCTGCCACAATTTCCATCTAGATTTACTACCTTTATACAACTATCAGTAGTAGAATAAATAATAAATAACATAAAATAAGCTCCGTAAAGACTGACAAATCCACAAAATTTCAAATCAAATTCAAATGTGTCAAATGAATCGTCAAACAGAACTGTCAAGGATCCCCACCCTAGAGTGCTTTTTCCGCCCACCATGCATGAATACATGGATAGCATTCTGCTCCTTCCTTAGTCTTCTTATTCAAAGATCCATTCTAGTGCCGTAACCATAGAATATAACCATATAGTAGAGCCGTAACTATGGTAATATCAGAGATTAAAGAAATTATACCTTCGGAAAATTTTCGGTGAACAGGCAGTTCTAAAAAGTTTTCGAAATATATACAAGGAAATTTAAAAGAAAATGCACGATTTTCAGCATCATTTTTTTGCGAAAAAAAACTTATAGACGTGTTCCTGGGGTCGAAATATACCACCCCTGAAAATATTTGCACTTATTTAAGACACACGCTGTATAGGGTTAGGGGAAGTTTTCACCCTTCCCGCACTTTTTCTTGATTTTTGTGAAAGTCAAATGTTAAGGGGCTTAGAAAAACATAGGCAGCCCAAATCTCATTCAAATCGGAATATTGGTTCTTAAAGTATCTTAAAAAATACGTGTTTATTTTTTAACCTCGCAATTCGTGGAATAAAAAATTAGTGGTTTCAATTAGTGTGGAAATTTGTTCCTTTAATTTCAATGTAAGCATTCAGAACGTCAAAATTAGTGGTAAACATTTTCAATTAGTAGAAAGCAAACTTTTAACTTTTCCACTAATTATACTTCAAAATTTGTGAGAAATGTCATCTTGGCCTTTCATTATATTATCTACCGTCAAGAGAAATTGTGGTTAGAAATCAAAAGTTGATTGTTTTATAAGCTAAATATTAGGTTTTCTCTATGGATACAACTGACTAACGCAAGCTGTTGCTAAGATATTCTATTAATTTTAATTGTGTTTCTTAAACATTGTAAAGTAACGTAAACTAAACTGTATAAAGTGTAATTAAAACCACTAATTTATACCACTAATTGCGAGGTTCTGAATGAAGCTTAACAAACAAACGAAGCACTTTTGTATAGATATGCAACAACCTTATTTTGATTCCAAAAACACGCAGTAGTTCTATATCCATGGAATATTGGGACACCCTGTATATCAGTTTCAATAAATCATATTATAATTTTTCCTAAATGAGATACCAAGGTTCTAATTTATGCATTCATTTATGCAAAAGTAATATAGATTCACGTTTATACATAGTAAAAATTTATATTACAGATTTAAACCAAACCAAATAAGCCATTTTAGTTGAATTTAAAACCAAATGACTTGGAAATAATAATCGATGACATTCCCCATACAAGTTTACATATAAAATGACAGCCATCGCTGACGCCGTTCTTTTTTCGATCATATTCTACTTTTGGTCCCTTTTTAACCCTTTCATTGCCTTCTTTACTTTCGACATACTACCGGTATATTACATACAGAACCGAATTACGTCGATTTAAGGACAAAGGAAATAATAATTAAAAATTTAACAAAAAAATAGAGAGAAAGAAAATGTCCCTTTCGGTTTAACCGGAAGTGATCCTTAACTGTCATCTGTCATCCGCGATCTTTAAACTAAAAGCAATAATTATTAGTTATTACCATTTTTATTCATCTATCCATGAATAAAAATGTGAACGAAGAGATAATTATTATATTTCATACATTTAAACCATTGCATTGTCGAGAAACAAACAGTTTTTGATTTATTAAATAAGTAAATATTTTTTATTAAAAGTAAAGATGTTGTTGGAAGGGATTAAATAATCAAACCACGCGTCTCTTCAAACTCTACTTTACCATTTAAATCAGTGTCATTCAAAATTAATCACCTCCATTCATCTTTTAACAAATCAACGAATTTTTGTTAGCATTTTTTTGGTCCTTTTAGCCCTCCCAATACTTTTTCCGCTAACCACATACAGACAAACTGTATAATTTCATAAACATTTAATACTTAAACAATAGTTAATTAAGAAGCAAATTAAAATTTACTTACCTTCCCAATCATCATTCCCATAAAATCCACATCCAGCTTTGCACTTGAGGTCGGCCTGGTTGATTCGTAAAGACGGTTGCTTGGTGGCATACATGATATATTTATAAGACCTCTGCAACGGGAACATTGTCATTTTGCTAATTTAAAATATCCTTAAATGCTAAATACTAAACGAGATTCTAATAACGCATCTATTGTCTTTTCACATTCGCGTAGGCTCCCACACAGGGCAATTTTAATACCATTATATTTCTGAGAAATATCACCCCCAAGGGAACCAAGCTATGATGGCGGTACCAAGATTGGATCGTGAGCACAGAGATTCAACTCCTTCATTAGCATCCGCTCCACAGGAAATTGCGGATATTTTAATTCGGTCGTACCCTCTTTGTGCGGTTTCTGAGATAGAGGTACCGAATTAGCTTGAGCACACGTTAAACATTCACCAGGATCAGCCATTTGTAGTAGACGGAGTGATTTATCAACCGTAGCCGCAACAGAATGAAACCTTATCACTTTTTAATTCGCTTTGGTCGTACCTAATCCTACTTAATCACTTTCAAGTTTAACGCCGCGACCTTCTTGATTATTCGCGATTCTAATTTGAAAAAAAAATACTGGCAACGAACTAAATCAAATGAAAAATAATTTTCAACTGATAGCTGGAAAATACTCAATCTGTTTTTATATGCACTTGAGTAACAATCAAACAGGGTGTCCACGATAAACTGTTAAAACAAATAAGTTTTATTGATATGGAAAGAATTTGAATTCTATTGCGATAAGTATGTTTTCATATCGAAGACCGCCCCAGATAAAACAAATTTGGTATATATCGTTAAGATTTATCTAATTTTATAGAAATTTTGATTAACACAAAGAAACCGCTTTGTATAAAGTACAAAACAAACTTTTATGTTTGCGTATTTTTGTTTACTTATTAAATAAAAAAAAATGATTTAACGAATCATTATCAAAATTAACAGACAACAAAGAAATGATGTCAGTTACTAATAAACCAAATAATAAAATAGTGAATTCTTGGAAATAATAATAATTGTATTTAAAATTTAATTTTGTTCACTATTATTTATTGCCAGCCAATCACAGTTTCTGATCAATTTCAATCTATATTCAAATAAGTACTGAAAAATACATAAACAATAATATAAAGGTTGATCTCTGTACTTTATTTTTTTCAAACGTCACAAAAGTATTTGTTTTTGCGCGTGATTGACAATATAAAAAAGGCATAAAAGTAAAGCGCTTTAGGCATAAAAGTAAAGCACTTTTACGCCTAAAGCTTGATTTTCATGCATCCGTTATACGTTGATAAGGATTCGTCCTACGTGGGAGACAAAAGCGAGCGAGCGACGCGTGCGACAACAGAGGGCGATGAGCGCGACTAGCGCGACATATTTAAATTGCCTGCGATGCCGCTTCAGTCGCGGGACTCTCCTACCTAGGACAGCTTCGTAAGAAAACGTGATTTGATAAATACGCGTCGCTCGCACCGCCCGAATCGCGCGCTTTGGTATCCCACGTAGGACGAAGCGTAAGATGGTCCGACGGTGCTCCCATTGGTTTGGTAGTATAGCGTTTTCGCGCCACTTTTCATTCGTAAATATTTTACTTCAGCCCGTCAACGGACCCGTTCATACGATAATGGACGTTTTGACACTTTTTGACAAATTTAATCTAACCTTAATAAAAATATAAGTAAAATAGCAAAATCGTTATGGAAACGAAAACATAAAATGATACCAACGTATATCCGATAAACGGAGGGATGAAAATGCAATCAATTTAAAAACTGCGTTATTTTCTAACCAATCAAAGTCTTTAAATTCTACCGATAAAATTAATATCGTATCAACGTATCGTCGGACAACGGATGCATGAAAATCAAGCTAAAGCATAAAAGTACGAAAATATAACTGACATCAAGTGTCAAATTCAACGAGTGTAACCCGAGGGGTAAACCGCTGATCTCAAATTTTTGTACACCAATGCCTAATTTGGGAATTAAATTGACATTTCCTACGTAATTCTCGCAGTTCCCCATAATACCTAATAATTCCTAAGAATGCCTGATAATTCCTAATAGTTCCTCTTAATTCCTCTTAATTGCCTATAATTCCTCTTAATTCCTACAATTTTCACTAAATTCGCAGAAATACTTATTAACAATTCCCCAAAAATTCCTATACTGATTCTTCTAAATAGTAGTGAAAAGATTGTTTAAAATTAAGAGAATGTTGCGCGAACGAAGGTTTTACTCTCCGTCTTACTACCTAAACTAACTTTTAGTTAATAACGATAATACTAGATAACGCTTAGGGTGAGGACACACGAGGCGGCTTATGGTGCGTCAGACCTGAGGAGCCAAGCGCGAGACGAGCGCGAGACATTCCACGGAGCCTCATGACTATCCGTCCCCTGTCGGTTTTTCGACGGCCGATCAAAGAAAGCTCGCGGTTAAGTCGCGACGTGTTTTTGGTAGGCTCGCTCGACTGCCAGATATTAGCTCTGATTTATGAATTTCGACTATTTAAAATTAAGTAATCTCAAATTTTTAAATGGTACACCGTATGTATTATCATTTTTTCTGAAAGAATTTACAAATTTTGCGTCACTGATAATTTTTACCGTACCGAAATGCTTCACAAATATTTCTTTAAACAAATTGAATTATTACAAAATCTATTAATTTTAGATATATAATATCATATGCAAAAAAAGTTACCGAATTGTACGTAGAATCTAATAACAAAATAAAAAATAGGGTATTCTCATTAGAAATTATATGTTTTATCTGCAACACTTTTTTGAAGTACCCTGTATACTCTACAGTAATGTTAAAATGTGCCTCTGAACTTTCCAAATAAGTTTTCTATTTAATATTTTGTTCTAAAAAAACGTTAAAAAACGTATTATGTAAAAAACCAAAAACAGTACAAACAGCCAAAAGGGAAAAAAACGACGATGAATAAAATACGACAAACCAAATACCATGTTAAAGATACACAAATTTATTACTGTATGCATTATTATTTGGCCATCGTTTGTTATATTCAATTACAATTTAATATGTTTTGGCTTCCTCTAACTATGATCCAACTCGGGCTTGTCTCGTAGCAGGCTTGCGTCAAAAAATGGATACAAACTGTCTCGCTCTTGTCTTGCTTTCGTCTTGCACTCGGCTTGTCAAGTCTGGATGCACCATAATATTATTTATGGGTCCATAAAACATAAAAATTTTCGCCACACAAGCTATATCCTCAATTCTGGACCAAATAAAATGGTTAAATTCGTTTTTAAGGAATTTGATTTTAAATCTATTGTTGTCAACTATTTCAATCACTGCTAATGTAATAATTCTCATCATAAAATATGGCATAATATGAATTTATTAAAATAGTATTTTCATCTTTGTTTTGCTTTGTAACGCTAGCATCATTGCCCTTTTCTAGATCGGAAAAAGTTTCTGAGTCATCTGAGGTACTGTCATGCAAGGAAAAAGCAGACAATGATAAATCTGATGAGCTTGAATATATTTTAGATTGTTCAGTCTTCTTATGCTCTTTCTTTTCATACTCTTTTTTTAGTACATACATGTATCGTGTAGTTTTATCTGATGTTAACAATTCGGAGAATTCGAGAACATTGTGCTACGAGGTTTAATGATTACGTTCTATTGGCGCATTGCAGAGTCCCCCCCTCCAACGACAGAACACGCGCACAACGAAATTTACCGATTGCGCATGCGTGTCAGCGTTCTACAAAGCCGGAATGGCCAATAATTACCACAATTCCTCTATAATACCCACAATTCCTTAGTAATTCCTAATATTTCCGATAATTCCTAGATTTCCTACAGATTTCTCTGTAATTCCTAACAATTCCCGGATTTGTACAACACAATTCCCCAGCGGTTTACCCCTCGGGGTAACCATAGTTTCTCGATATATAGTTACTTACAAAGTATACTATGTTTTTTTACCACAGGTAATATTTCGGCAGACGATGGCAGAAAAAAAGGCAGATGACGTACATACCAGTCCATTTTTAATATTTTTTAAGTTAACTATGGATGGGTTTATACAGGGTGGTCCGAACTGTATTCCGAAAACTTCGGCAGCATATTCTTCAGATAAAAATAAGTAAAAAAGTTCGTATAAATTATGTCCTAGAGTGCTTAGTTTTGAAGATACAGGGTGTAGAAGTTTCATTATTATTTCGAATTTTTCCTAATAATTCCTGAAGTTACGTCAATATTTGAATGAAAATTGGCGTCTGGGAATTTTTCACATCAGAAATTTGATTTTGGTGTTAATATGACTCCTTCTTGTAGAAGGCACCACCTACATACTTTTTAACTGGTTTGAAGAGTAATAACTTTTCGTCCGTACCTGTATAAAGCTACTGAATAAAAAAATATACATTTACGATGTTTTTTATGTAAAAAAGGTCTCTTGGTAAAAATCGTTACGAGTAATGGTTTTCGAGATATTTGGAATCGAAATTATCAATACCTGTCATCACTGACAAGAATTAAACATGATGAGACTAAATAGTTATTAGACTGACATTATAAATTTCAGATGTATTTGTGCCAAAAGTTCAACAGAGACTGTTTTATCATCATTTTTTCGCAGAAAAATGTATGATTAATTTTAAAAAATAAAAAATTTATACGAATGGAAAGTTATTACTCTTCAAAACAGTTAAAATAGTGTAGGTGGCGCCCCCTACAAATAGGAGTCATATTAAAAAAAACCTCCAGACACCAATTTTCTTACAAATATTGGCGTTACTTCAGAATTTATTTGGAAAAAATCGAAATAAAAATGAAACTTCTACACCCTGTATCTCTGAAACTAAGCATTTTAGGATATACATTTATACGAACTTTTTTACTTATTTTTATCTACAGAATATGCTGCCGAAGTTTCCGGAATACAGTTTGGACCACCCTATACTATACATATAAATCCGTCATGGGTCGTATGTTGTTTTTAACGAGTTTTAATGGTTTATTACAAAAATGACAGATCATGAACGATCCACGGACGCAGATGCGTATAAGTTTCACTTAAGATTTTTGAGGCTTGTCAAAATCTTGCAAAATTATAGGTTATAATTTGTGTCAAATTATGTCAAATACCTATTTGCGAATTGCTTTTGCATTTTGGTTCGTGTTATTAGTTGTGTTTTGTTGCCATCTCGTATATGGTACTAAAAACTGAAGTAGCTGTAAAATAACGACATCACGATAAGTAAATAGTAGATTTTAGTATTGCAGAGAGATAATGTCAAAAAGATACTGGTTTAAAAAAATTAAGATTAAAGTTAATTAATCAACTTTTAAGATATAAAATTCAGTAGGTGTTATTATTAATAAAAAATGTTGTTTTTTATGTTGTGTCTTACTTATTCCTGTGCAATATTAAAAAAAATATAAGGTAAAACCCCCAATGGTTGACAGTCACCCAATAGTTGACACTTTCGGAGAAAATTACCATTCATAAAGTTTTTCAAGCAGCCCGCCAAACGTTGAATAGGAAAACTTATATGTGGCGACCTTTACTAGCTACGTTTAACACCAAATGTTGACAGATTAGTTAGTATGAAAATTAAAGACATGTTTGTAACGGTCAGTTCGTGAAAACCTTTCCACAAGCAATTCCTTTA